AGTGTATTTTCGGCGGAAAACTAAATATTTTGCGGGCGAAAAACGGCTTATTTTGCTTATATTTGCACCACCATCGCTTAGATCTCGTATGAGTTCCTCATTTTTTCATACCTTATCACAGTTAACGTCAAGAACTGCACAATTGAGGCAAATTAATAACGAAACTGAAGAAAGTGATTTATTTTTATAGTCGCTTCTGAGCGAATTCACAAATTCCCCACTGGGGCTTTGAGAATTACTAACACATAAAAACATGGATTTTTCTTGAGAACATCACTCTTCGGTTACAGTGTACTTCTGAGTCGCTCGACTCTAATCTGAGTCAGTAGCCTAATTTATGTATGGAAAAAACAGCACTTGAACGATCGTCGACTGTGCATTTACTTCTGAGGAAGTTTTAAAACAAGCTTTTTTTATTTGCGAAAGTAAAACTTGCCGAAGAAACTGCAAGTGGTAAGAAATCATTTCCATCACGGCCTCAAAACCCGAAAAACTCACCCAGTTTTCATGCTTTTCCGATAACTGAAGCTGATGTTGTGAAGTTGTGTTATGAAATAATTGAACGATTTGTAACGTCGAGCGGCACTAACTGAAAACATTAAAATAACTGCAACAGCCCATTAGCTAAAACTCCTGGATGGTAATGAAAGTGGCTGGTGAAACTGAACCTGATGGCTGGCGAGTTTAAAAACTCGAGTTGAAAATTAGGCGGCGCTCGCTGAAAGCGAGCTGAGGAGGAAAAGAACGAGGAGGGACTTAAAGGACAGAGGAAGTTGGGACATGTATCGGATTTATGTGTACCGCCTGACAAACGAGGGCTAAGTTAACTTGAGGAAACTTTCTGCAGAACACACATTTACCGCTCAAAGTGTGATGATATTAGGAAACTTTTCGGGAAACTTTAAATATAACGTTGTTCGGTGGAAAAATAATGGCGCGCCCCTTTTAACCGATTTATACTCGGGCCTAGGGGTTTATTGAAACAAATGATGTATTCGAAGGGAGCAAAAATGCCTTATTCGTTTGGGGAAAGCATTCAGTTTGTCCACTTTTGCTCTAGAATAATTTGCTGTATTTTCGTGCCTTTCCAACCGGCCGATAAACTCTAACTTCGGTTTTAAAATAGAGAAATCGAGCAAATCCTCCCTGAGGTAAGCCACGCAATCAGTTTGATTGGCTTGCGGACTTTTCCGAATTGTCCACGTTCTTAATCAGCGATTTCAACCATGGCCATTGACTGAATGAATTATCCTTTCCTGGAAAGCCTCAGAAATTGTCGAGAAATCGCCAAGATCCTTGAGCGTAATGAGGCAGAATGGAAGACTGGTTTGGATCGTTGTTTCGGCTGTTTTCCTACTTGAAGTTGCTTAAAATTTAATTAAACCGGGATTCGAAATCGGCGCGGGCTTCGGTAATCATTGACGGTTTGTTAATTTTCGGCACTAATCTGGTGCCATCCGGCAGAAAAAAGCGAAATTGGCTCTGGAAAATCGATCGGACAATTTTCAAATGATACGCGGATATTATGAGGCACTTAATAAATTAATTACCGACAAAACTGGAATGGATTTGCGCGGGTAATTGCTTATTAATTATTTAAAGGGCCCGCGCGATACGACGCAGCCATTGATATTTCAAATTGCGGAAAATATTCATCCGGCTATTTAATAATTCCTGGATGCGGCGTGAATTAGTGAGCACTGGGGAGATCAATAGTGTTATTCGATCTATTTACTCAGCTAGGCCAAGGAGGGCACGGAATGTTGCTACTTCACTAGGCTAAGTTCTAATTAAATCCACTCGGGGCACTGTCAAAAGTTACCTGGCTGGATATCAGAATTAACTAATGGATCTTCCCAATTTCCTATTTATGAGTAGCTATTGTTCCCCACCGTAAACCGGTTCCTGCAGGAATACGTTGCGAAATTGAATATGACCAAGAATTAATGACAACATGGACAAGGGCCTGCGGCAAACCTGAACATGCCACCCTGATCCATCACTTAATGTTGACTGATCCACATTCAGGATTCCTGTTATTGCAGCTTTTATGAAAATAACGCTGCTCTAATTAGTCAGTAGTTGCATAGTTTCGTTCAAAACACGTTACCGATGCGTTATTCCAAATATTTGGCAAACGTTTCGGCGCAGCCATCAAAAACTGACGAAAAATAGCCGGCTAATTGAGTTGCACCTGATGATGAAATATGCAACAGTTAATTAGATGTGCGCTAGTTTATTTTCGGTTCGCATCGGTTTCACAGAGGCGGAAACTTTCATTCAATTTTCAGTTTTAAAGCGAATAGCTGTTCAGTTAGAGCAGATGGGGTTTCTGAAATGKTCATAACTCTTATGCGTTTTGTCCGTCCGTTYGGAAGTGCGYAAGGAAGYCTGAAAAAAGTTGAAATTCTCCAATTAGAGCAGATAGAGCTTCGAAATTTTGTGCAATTGTCACAGACAATTCGATAARTCAATGCCCCAAATTTTGCTTCATTTAGTTCAGTCGTTGATTTTTGAGAMACTTTTGAAYTTCACATGTTAAGCGCGCAAGGACGCCTTAAGCATTGAAAACTGCGCAAATAGAGCAGATAGAGCTTAGAAATTTTGTGCCATTGTCAAAAACAATTCGATAAATAAATGCACCAAATTTTGCTTCATTTAGTTCAGTCGTTGATTTTTCAGAAACTTTTGAACTTCACATGTTAAGCGCACAAGGACTCCTTAAGCATTGAAAACTGCCCAAATAGAGCAGGAAGAACTTAAAAATTTTGTGCAGKTATCACAAACAATTCAATAARTAARTGYACCAAAYTTTKCTTCATKTAGTTCAGTCGTTGATTTTTGAGAAACTTTTGAACTTCACATGTTAAGCGCGCAASGACKSCTTAASCATTGAWAACTGCCCAAATAGAGCAGRWAGARCTTARAAATTTTGTGCAGTTATCACAAACAATTCAATAAATAAATGCACTAAATTTTGCTTTGTTTAGTTCAGTCGTTGATTTTTGAGAAACTTTTGAACTTCACATGTTAAGCGCGCAAGGACGCCTTAAGCATTGAAAACTGACCAAATAGAGCAGGAAGAATTTAAAAATTTTGTGCAGTTAGCACAAAGAATTCRATAAATAAATGCACCAAATTTTGCTTCATTTAGTTCAGTCGTTGATTTTTGAGAAACTTTTGAACTTCACAYGTTAAGCGCGCAAGGACTCCTTAARCATTGAAAACTGCCCAAATRGAGCAGGAAGAAYTTAAACATTTTGTGYWKTTATCACAAACAATTCAATAAATAAAWGCACCAAATTTTGCTACAYTTAGTCCAGTSGTGGATTTTTGAGCAAGTTTTGAAGTTCACGTGTTAAGTGCGCAAGTACCGATTGAGTTGATTATGGCCGATAGAGCGTGGAAATTTTCGACCATCATCGAACAACCTGAGTGAATAAATCTACAAAATTTCACCACATTTAATGCAGTGTTTGATTTTCTTTAGAACTTCGGGCCTAGTGGGCCTGATTAAAAATCCATGAGTTTCAATGTAGAGTAGATGAGTTTTCAAAGTGGGGCATAACCATAGAAGCAAGGAATGCTTTTGCAAATATTTCAATTTCGGTAAATGCTAGAGATCTGGGCAGATAGATGAACAAATCCAGAGGCGAATAGAGAGCGTCCAGGTTCGAACGGTCTGTTTTTGGAACGGGCCTCCGAATTCCCGTCGGACAGTTTCGATAAAAGGAAGAAATAAGGGAATGCCAGCGATCCGCCGGCTTTTTTAATCTGGTAATGGAGTCGGACACATTCCGACGAGTAATATAATGGAACTTTTAGGGTACACTGATACGGGCGCTGCGGCAAAACTATATTGGATAAGTGGGCGCTTTCGAAATGGAAACTCGATACATATTGGATAAGTTTTCGCTAAGATCGCCCAAAATTCTATTGGTTTTGAAGAATTCGATGGAAAATGCCAGTGGATTCATTTGGCGAATTGATTTCGTCCCGCCGGACCGTCCGGACTGAGAGCACCAATATATTTAAATAAAGGCTTAAGCCTGATTGGAGGTTTATAACGGTCAAACAAATCCCCGCGCTTAATAAAATCACAATGTTTATGCCCATTAACAAAATGGCAATATTTGGGCATGCTAATGTGCTCGAATATCGCTATTAATTATTTAATTAATTAATTTTAGAGCACCCCAAACTGCCGTCGCTCTAATTAATTTATTATCTCGAAAATGACATATTTACCCGTATAGCGGCGCATTTCTCCGATATGGAGGGCCCGAACATTATTTTATTCGGCAAACAAACAACGACTGATGCGAGGGCAATTGAAAAACTCTCAAATTACCGGACAAACAAAATTATATCTATGAAAACAACATTAGCGGACCTTGCTAATTAATTATTCGCATCATCGGGGGGTTTATGTAATGGACACAGTGTCACTTTCTAGCAAATCAGTTAAAATGGGCATTTTTTTTCCAGGGGCGGTGTAATCGAGAAAAACCGCCTTGCAAATACTTCCACCCACCACAACATCTCAAAGACCAATTGCTGATCAACGGTAGGAACCATCTAGCTCTGAAAAACGCTCTGATGCAACAGATGGGGCTCTCACCTGGACAACCCCTTGTCCCTGGACAAGTACAGGCAGTGGTAAGTCTTGTTTAGCTGTTGGTGAGGCGCTTTGGATGCTGATTGTCTGTTTGTGGGATTTTTTGCTGTATTAACCGTTTTTTTTTGGGGTCTTCAAAGATGTTTTTCTAGTAGAAAACTGCCTTTGTTAATGGCTTGATTGTGTTGCGGTCTGGCCTTTTTTACTATTACATTTAGTTTCTACTAATTTTGTGTTGGTTTTTGAGGTGGAACAGCCGACTGACAGTCTCCCTTTGACCTTCTTCCCATATTTGTCCATGACACTTGACGAGCAGTATGCACTTATGGTAATCATTTAATTTGCTTTTTATATTATTTTCGCTTCTTTCAATGGGTGGTTGGCTTTGGACCGGCAGCGATTGACGTGAAAAGCCACTGAGTCGGCCCAGACCCAATCCCATAAGCGCTTTGCCTGCTTCGCCATTAATTGCTGAAAAACTGTCCGTTTTTTGTCCTCAATCTCCCATTGTCTGTTTTTCATTTGCAAATACGTTCACTTTTTTCAAGTGGGTTTTGAGGGCAATGATAAATCATTCTAGCTCCACTACATTCCCATTGAAGTTTGCCTTCTACCTGCTTTGCATGCTGCATGTCCATTAGGCTAAGTAGTTTGTTGATCTGGACATTGGGGGAAATTCTGGATATTGTTTTCSAAATTTGTCCAACTATGACAGAAACTTTACGCGRATCAGTGCAGAAAGTCTTGACAGAAAGAAAACTTGACTGTATAAATGTTGAAAGTTTCACTGKACTCGGATTTTTCAGAATCTTGKAGTGTTCAATTGAGCATCCGCACATTTCAGGTACAGCAGTTTCACACAAGCTTGACTTTTGCAAGTCGAGAGTTTCACTTGATTGAAATCTCTATAACAATAAAATAAAAATAAACAATAAAACTTGACTGTAATTTTTTTTAAATCGCACAAGGTAGTTCATCAAAAGTCAACTGTCGCATTTGAACCGAGAAAATGTGGAGAAAAATAAGAGAAACTTGCATTTGAAAATTTAGAAAGTTTCTTTCATGGGGTTAGAAARTGGGATAAAACGGCTGAAAACTTTCAGCCGTTTTACAAATGATTAAAGTGATATTTGGTCATTCATTATTTTGCCTGTATTTTGGAGTTTCGGGACAAATCCTACATTTTAGCAGATTAATACCAAAAGTTGACTTTATAAATGTCTAAAGTTTTACTCAATTCGAGTTCTAGTTTAATTTGCTCTAGTTTCAAGAGAAACGAAACGCGACTTTATAAATACACAGTTTCACATAAATTATCATTGTGAATTACTTGGCGTAAGTGTCTATTTGAAAACGTCTAATTTTCCATTAAAAAAGCTAAAATGCCCTATTGATTTCAAGTTATTGATGGAAAACTGGGCTTCATAGATCTGGAGAGTTTCACCAAGTTTCAATTTTAAATAACTGTCAGTTTAGGCCCACTAGTTGCGTAAATTTTTGATCAGAGTTTCAAGTCAAGTTTCACTTTGACGCTAAGACGTTCGAATTCGGATTTTAGACGCTTTTGCTCATTTCTTCACGTCTATTGGAAATGTTTTCAGTTTTTATTTGGGCCAATATTTCTTATCAATTTTTGATGGTTTTTTTGGGAAACTACTAGAAAAAAAAGTTCACGCAATTGCTCTCCAATTGCTTGTGATTGATTAACACTTGCAACTTTACAAACAGTTAAAGAATCAAAAAGTTTCCAAATTATGAACGAAACTTTACTTAATAAATGTTGAAAGTTCTACAGGATTCGGATTTAGGGCTAATTTTCTAGAGCATTTGTGTCTTAGTAAACTGAAAGACTGTAGTAAAACTGGGCACAAACACGCATTGAGAAACTGTTAAATTTCCTGTTAGGGTCAACATGCAACATGCATGAGTTTTTTGTAAGTTTGTTATGCAACAGTTCTTTTAATAGCGTAATTGTTGTCATCTGCAACAATCTCCCTACCTTTCCAGTTGGGGCCAAAATGCTCCTACGATTTTAAACTGGAGTCTACGAATGCAAGATGCACTTTAATGATGTGTTAAAGTTGTCATTTTCAATAGATGCGTGTCCAGGAATTTTTCCCCCGTCCAGCCCTCCTTGTGGCGTGTCCAGCGCATTCCCTCTTTGACTGATTGCCAATGAACTGTTTTTCCAGGCTGCAAATCCGTACCTAACTGGAATGCCTCAAGTAGGCAGCACCTACAGTCCCTACTTCGCTCCAGGACCGATAATGCCCACACTGATGCAGGACCCAACTGGCGTTGGGTCACCGCTTGGAGTCGTTCCTCAAACTGTTGTTCAACAGAAGATGCCCCGATCCGATCGGTTAGAGGTAAGGCCATCCGGTTCATTTCGCTCTTCGTTTCACGCGCCGACTGGCATATCGGACGATTTTTATTGTGCAATTGGAAAACTGCGTCTACAACATTGCGGCCCCATATTTACATCGTCGAGTCAATTTTTGATTATTTTCGCTGTTATTTTTTCTTTTGCAGCTCCATATTTGGTGCCAACTTCTTAACCAATCAGCCACTAATTGTTCATCACTATTCGTTGTTTAAACCGTGCATGCCTTGATTATTATTTTTTATTTGATCATATTACTTTTTCTGCTTTTTATTTTGTTTTTGCAGGTATCTTTTGTTGGGTTTTTAAGTCCGGGGAGTAATTTGCCTAGAGGTAATTAATTGAATAACCCACACAGTACACTACTAACACCTTAACCCCAGGCTAACCTCTCTAGCACACATAGACGTAGACGTTTTTTCCTTTGTGTATATTGTACATTTTTGAATATACATTTTTGTTTGTTGGTTTCGCCCCGAATGGAGGCAGCATTTATTTGTTAAGCAGTTTGATTAAATTCCTCGACTAAACAAGTAAATCTGCCTCGCTTTCAAAGTTTTACTCAATCGAACCACTATACATAAATCCTCCTTAGTTGTAAATATGAGTTCTAGTGATTATTTTTGTACCGTCAAAAACCCTCTGAGCACCTGTAACTTTCTATCGACTTTTTTCGTTATTGTGCACGGTGTGAACTATCCGGCTAAAGTTGCGAGTTTCTCCGTAGTTGTTAGCAGCTGCCCATCAGCTCCTTTTTTTTGAAGCTCTGCCAGTAACTTTGAGCTTTTTCGATAGAAAGTTATTCAACATAGATGGTCATTTAGCTGCGCGCCCCATCATCCTTTTGCTTTCGTTTGTTATCCACAAACTCGATTTTTTTTTGTTTGGCCAGTTGCTTTGGTCCATCGGTTAGTAGGGGCGTCACAAGAATCGAGTGTTTGATAAGCAAGAGTATCTACAGTGTCCAGAAAGTCAATGGCAAGCTACTGGCCCTTAGGGCTCTGTGGTGTTTTATGCTGCGGAATATCGTTGCGAGATTGCGTGTTTTCCTACCAAAATCCTCGCTTCCTTTGGATTGTACCATTAAGTTTTGCTGGGGAGTGGGTAGACAGTTAGAGCAGAGGGAGCAGGGGTATTTGGAGTCACGCAGATGCTCGCCTCTCCTACAGTGTATCACTTTGATGAAACTCTTTGCTCTAGAGGTGATTGCCAGTTGCACTCTGCAACAAACTACCACGAGTCTCTGAAATGTGAGGTTGGAAATTTCCTCACACACTAAGTCCTCTGTATCTTTTGCTTAAACAAAATGTAGAAAATGACCTCACTTTTAGGATGCTGTTTACTCCTGAGCAGTTTCCCTTCAGTATCACTCTGCAACTGTTCTCTCCTTACTCTTGCGACATTCATTCGGCAATCTACCTTGAAGCTGTTGAATGTGAACTTTTTAGCTTGCACATTGCCATGACTTCTGACATGGAGAAGATATCAATCCTCATAGTTGCCAACTTTTCCTCAATTGTTTCAATCCCATCTGTCTCTCTATAATCTCATCTTCCTCGTGACTTCTTGCTTGATTCTCTCCGACCTTTAGGCTCGTATTTATAAACGTTGCCCAAGCATGAGTCGAGCCTCAAGTACGATACTTGGCTGCTTCGATTGCGATTTATAAACGATTCTCATTCTCAAGCCAGTGCTTACAGATTTGCTTGCTCAAGTATCGGTCGACGGTGGCTTGAGTATTGCTTCTGCCCAGCCATTGGTCGAGATTTACGGTTTTTAAGGTTATATTACTGTTTATGTTATGTTTTTACATTTTCATTTTTTGATTTTACTATCGTATGCAATATAAGAATGGACAAGGTTTCGAATATTTGGTCGTAATAGAGGAGGAAATAAACGAAAACCAACGTGTTAGTAAAATATATATACGAGATGGCAATTTTCGTAGAATTTCGGAAAAGGTTTCGGTTTTTAAAGGCCACTATTATTGAGGTGATATTACCTTTTTAAATGAACCATTATTGAAAGCGGATAATCGTGGACTACCAATATCATATATCACCCTTTACTCAATTGCTGGTATGTTCAAGAGTTTATGCAAGTAGCTTTCTATTTTAGAGATTCTATAGAGCAAGTAGCAATGTTTCTATGATTCCACGTCTACTTTCCTACATAAAGTGTATAGTATATTGAAGCTTGTGTCCGGTAATTTTCGTGATCTTTGCCAGTCATTCAGCGGTTCAAAAGACATTTACATAATAACATTGACGCCATCTTAGATTCGCCAATAGTCCCAATATAACATTACTAAATAAATACTATATATATAGTAATGTTATAAATAAGTTCTTATACATCTATACTCGACCGATACTTTGCCGAGAATTTACGAAGTATTGTTTATAAATCGTCTCTCTTGAGGGCCTTAAACCTGATCCTCATATTGCACTCCCATGACTTCAACCTTAATGGTTGAGGTTTGGTAGGTTAATGTCTTGAAGCTCAAACCGTTCTGGACCCCCAGAATGCTTCCCTTCTCGGTCGTGAGCCACTTTTTGGGTGTTTGGCTAGGCGCTCCCGAGTAACAGCCATTTGCCCCACACTTACAACTCCTAGCCATCTGGGGGTTCCAGGGG